TGAACAAACATTTTTAATAAATTTTAACTTGATAAACAAGTGATGTGTTGCAATATGAATAGCACGTGAGGCTGAACGTCACATAATCACAACTGAATTAATTTTCTCTCTTCTCTCTCTCTCTAGACTTGTGGGTGATCATCTCCCAACAAGAAGAGATTCCGGAGGAGAAAGAGGTAGAGGAATTCCTCACTTCAGATGAAATTAGGAAGATGTGTAAAGTGTAGGAAACAGTGCAAAATTGTGTAGAAACACACCACTCAAATAAGGCTGTAGCAGTGCAAGTGATGAATCTGTTTAACAACAATGTAATGTCATTGTTGTAATGTCATGTATATTTCTGTGAAATCTTCAAAAGGAAGCAAAAGCGAGTGTCATTGAATAGGTTCCTTGTTAAAGCTGCACAAAAAGAAAAGGATTCCATTGACCCGATAGATAGCAGTGATCGGGTTAGTGATAGTGAAAGTTGTCCTGCACACAGTAACCCTCCTCTCTCTTGTCTCCCTCATATCAGCCATGAATGTTTTCAAAGGTAAGTGCAGGCTAATTTATTTTCTTTATATTTTGTATTTTATTATTGTGTACTATATTACAGTATAATCATTTTTATATGGATATTTTTGGGTTGTGGAACAAATCATCTGAGTTTTTATTATTTCTTATGGCGACATTCGCTTTGCTACTCAAGGGCTTTGGATTACAAAGTATGCCTCTAGAATGAGTTATGCTCATGAACCAAGGTTTTACTGTATTATAAATTTTGACAATAATACCTATATGTGAATTGAATGTCACTTTATAAGGAACAAAATATGCAAACCAAAATTTATGCCCCTAAGAATGATCAACTTAAAAAGAAACTGAACAAAATAACTGACAGGTGCTATAATTCAGACGAGGGAAGCACAGTATATTTATGACTTGGGTATATAAAGAAAGGTTGCAGTCACTAGTATACATATAGATAAGATTACCAGTAACACAAAACTTGATTGTGCTCTATCTTTACCTATTTCTCTATTTACCTTCCACACGAGGTAAAGAAATTAAGATTCTCATGCCAGCTCGGTGTGGTGGCACACACCTGTAATCCCAGCACTCAGGAGGCTGAGGCAGGAGAATCACTGTGAGCTTGAGACCAGCCTGGGCTACATAGTGAGTTTCATGTCAGTCTCAACTACCTAGTGAGACCCTGTCTCAAAAAACCGAGAAAAAAAAATTCTCATGCTGTCAAATTGTCTAGTGATGTATCTGAAATGTAAACATTGTTTTTCACGAATTGCAAAATGTGTTTCAGATAATTAAAAGAAGTCCAAAGGCTTGGCTAGTTTATGTCTTGGTGTACTTGAGTTTAAAGTGAATTCTGAATTCTGTCCTCTTTAAGACTTTCATAAGTGTAGTTTTTCAAAAATAGTATTATAAACAACCAGAACAAATTTTGACATTTTAAAAAGCTGACCATCAGGATTCTTGGTTTACTTTCTGTAGAAGTTGCAAAATAACCTTAAATAAAAATTATATCTTTAGGTTTTCTAAAGTAAATATAACTGGGAGTTTTAATAATAAAACTAAATTGGAAGCTGAGGGGCTGTAAGATTAAAGGAAATATGAGTGCCAGCTTTTGCATTTTTATACCAGGAAGTCCATTTGAAACCTGAGGTTTTATAATACAATGATTCTAACTGTTCAGCTCTTTCTTTTGTCTTTTGTTCATAGTCTGGGTGGGCTCTTTTATGAAATAAAATCTCTTGCATTGAAATCAGATATACTTTGATATGTTTTCATTTATGTGTAGTTCTCTGTAGTCGTAATTTCCTTTGACACTTCCCCTTAACTCGCAAATTATTTCAAAGCGTGTTGCTTAGTCTCTGAATGTTTTGAGAGTTTCTTATTGTCTTTGTTAGAAATTTCCAGTTTGCTTCCATTTTGGTCAGAGTACACAATGTTTGATTTCAGGTTTTTTTACTTTCTTCAAGTTTTGTTCAGTTTGTTCTATTTTTCTATTTGGCCAGGGTTCTATGGGCAATTGAGAAACACGCATTCTGTTGGTGTCCGGTGTCATTTTTATATGTTAATGAGATCCATTGTTTGATTGCATTGCTCAGATCTTCTATTTGTGATTTTCTGCCTCACAGCTCTCACAGTCACGGAGGTGAAAGTGAGGTGGTGCTGAAGTTTCCAACAGTAATTATAAGTTATTTTCTCATGGTGTTGTGCTAGCTGACATATAGAGAGCCCATGATGCAGGCAATAAAAGAACTTACTAAAGGACAAAGAATATAGGAAAGACAGGAGTTTACTCACATCACTGAATACCCTGTCAAGGACTGCAGGCAAGTTTTGAGAGAGGGATCATGCTGTCAGGGCGAGAAATTGTAAGGTAATGAAGATGTGGGAAAGGGTCTGAGCTGGCAAATGCAGGTATTTTAGAAATGCATTTTCTAGGGCATCCTGTTATTTGTGGATTTTCCAGGAACACCCATATCATGACTGCAGTTACACATCAAAGCTGTAAGTTGTCAAGGCCTCTCACTTAGGTCTCATAAAAGGCTTTTTAGATTTAGATAAAAGCATTTGTATGTTTTGACCTTTTGGGAAGAAATAAAACATTAGCTCAGGGGAGGATTTATTTTTATCTTCTTTTTATTTTTATCTTGTACTGTTTTCAGTCCTCATTCATGCAATGTTTCATGACTGTCCCGTATGTGCTGAGCAAAGCGTATCATCAAAGAAGATTGGATGCTGAGTATCTTAACTCTTTAGTTACCAAGTATAGTACTTCCGATTTTTTCTTTCTGGTCTTCACTATGTATTTGAGGCTCTGTTGCTTGTTTGTACACATTTAGTATACTATGTTTGCTGGGTGGATTGATCCTTTTATAATTATATAACATCTCTTGGGGTCTCTGGACCTTTGCTTTGAATCTACTTTACTGAACATTATTATGGCTACTTTTGCTTTTTAAAATTGTTTTTCAAATTTACATGGTATATCTTTTCCCGCCTTTTTTACTTTCAACTTACCTGGATTTGAATTTGGAGTTTCTTCTAGGTACTGTATACTTTGCTTTGTTTTGTTTTTGGTACCAGGGATTGAACTCAGGATCTTGCACTTGCAAGGCAGGTGTGATACCACTGAGCTAAATCCCCAATCTTACATATTTTTTAAAAAATTCACTCTTGGAACCTCTGTCTTTTGACTGTTACAAAGCATTTATATTTAAGATAATCATTGACTTGTTAGCATTTTATTCTATTTATTTTTTCTATTTGTTTTCTTTGACTTTTATCATTTTTTGCTTTCTTGCCTTACTGCATTTATTTGAATCTGCTTTAGGATTCTATCTTGATTTGTTTATAAAACTTTTGGGTTAGTCTATATAAAAAATAGTGGGCTGGAGATGTAGCTCAGCAGTGCTACACCTGCCTGACAATCACAGGGTCTTGAGTTCAATTCCCAGTGCTAGAAAAGACAAGAAAGAAAAAATAAAGGAAAGTAGTGGCTGCTCTGGGTTTTCAAACACTATTTATAACAAGGGATTGGTGTCAACATTTAGCACTTTGAATGAAGTGTGGAAAACTCACTTCTATTTAAGTCTCTTTGGCATATCCATCTTTAAATATCATTATTTGAGTATCACACAGCATTGACTTTTTTATTTCAATCATCAGATATCATTTATAAAACTCATAAGGAAAAGACTGTATGGACCCATATTTCTGCTTTTTTTGTCTCTTCTTCCATCTTCATTTCCTATTTTTATCTTTTGCTTTCTGTTTGAAAAACTTCTTTTAGACAGTATTTTAAGGGTAGGTCTGTTGGTCACAAAATATTGTAGTTATCATTTGTCTGAATTTTTAAATCACTTCTTTCTTGAAAAGTAGTTTTATAAGACATAGAATTATAGACTTACAGTTCTTTTCTTTCATCACTTAAAAATATTTGGCTATTTCCTTATACAGTGTGTGGTTTTATACAAGAAATTCATTCAAATGGGTGTTCCCCTACGGGTGATGCACTATTTCTTTCTAGATGCTTTAAGGAATTTTTCTTTAGTTTTCAAAAATTTAATTGTATGTCTTCGCATAGAATTCTTTGAGTTTATCCTGCTTGGGATTTACTACCTTCATGAATCCTTGGGTTGGAGTTGTTTTTTTGTTTGTTTGGTTTTTTTTTTCTAGTCTAATTGCTATTGTTTTACCCTCAAGGTTACAATTTCTGTTCTCCATCCTCTCAAACTTTGAGCCTATCCAGCAAATTTTCAATTTATTTTTCAATTCTATAATTTTCATTTCTCTCTCTCAGATAACACTTCTCAGAGATTTTCTATTTTTGCAATTGTTTCAAGAGAATTTGTAATTGATCTCTGTAGCGTTATGTTTGCTTTAAAAGTCTTGATAATTCCAACATCACATTCACTTGTTGGCATCAGTTGATTTCTTTTTTCATTCAAGTTGTGATTTGCTAGGCTTTTGGGTTATATTCTGGGTATATTTAGTATGTTAGGAGACCTTGGATCACATTTAAATATTTTCCAAGAAGTCACTCTGTTTGGATTTTGCATACAGGCATTTGCCTATGGTGGGAGTTTAATTTTGAAAGCCCTTGTAGTGTTATTTTGGTCTGCTTGGTTTATCTTGTGCTGCCTGGGCTCCCAGTGTTCTCTGTTGGTGCCACCTGAGGGGACGGGAGGAATTTCTTTCTTTTTTTTTTTT